ATTTCGTCTGGAGAAAAGGAAGCTTAAAGGGGAGACTTTCTCAGTCTCTGCTACTCACTGAAAGGAGGTTGGAGTGAGGGGGGGTTGGTCTCTTCTCCCAAGGAACAAGTGATAGAACAAAAGAAAACGGCCTCAAGTTGTGCCAGGGGAGGTTTAGATCAGGTATTAGAGGAAACTTCACTGAAAGGGTTGTCAGGCCCTGGAACAGGCTGCCCAGGGCAGTGGTGGAATCATCATCCCTGGAGGGATCTAAAAGCTGTGTAGATGTGGTGCTGAGGGACACGGGTTAGTGGTGGCACTGGCTGTGCTGGGTTGATGGTTGGACATGATGATCTTAAAGGTCTTTCCCAACCAAAACAATTCTGTGATTCTCTTCTATGATTGTAAGGGCTGTGTGTGTGCTTCCAGTCAGAGGGCTGATCCCTGGCTGGTGCACACCTGGAGCTGCAGGGCTTTCACTCACCTGGTCGTGCATGGGGGGAGCCCTGTGGTCACCTCACTTTACCCTGGAGAAGTTCACCCTTTCACCCTTCTGTCCCCTGGGCATGGCTCCCCTCACAGGTGTGAAGGAGGTGGATTATCAGCTCTTCCCCAGCAAGGAGATCCAACTGCAGTGGTTGCACTTCTACCTGCTGGCCTACAAGCAGCTCACCCAGGGGGACCCAGGCAGCTTGGGGGTGTCTGAGGAGGAGCTGGAATCTCTCTACGTGCAAGTGAACAAGTTTACTTTGGTGAGTGGTGGAGGTGGGATGGAGCCAGGCTCTCCCAGGGGCTGCCTGTGGGATGGGTTTTTCCCTGTTCTTGGGTGAGTTGGGGCTTTGTTCTGCTGCTTGGCTGGTGAGGATGGGGGTGCAGGTACCAGCCTGGGGGCTTGGGGGCATCTGGGGCAGGAAGGTGGCCCAAAGAGACCTGCTGCACCTCGGGCAAGGTCAGAGGTAATGTTGACAGTCTGCAATCCCACTGACACGTGCCAAGGGACAGCGTGTCTCTGATAGCCTGATAGACCTTGGTACAGCTGAGCATGAGGAAATCCTGTCTGGTAAATGCCATGGGCAGGTGGAGCCAATTTTCTGGAAACTTATGACAAAGTCTTGTCTGGAGCTGGCAGGAGGGATGTCCCAGGTGCAAGTGCAGAGGCGGGTACCCTGAGCTTGCTGTGTGGCTGTTCAGCAGCCTTCCTGCTGGAATCCTTTGCTGGGGCTGGGACCAGCTTCTGGAGCATAGAAGAGCACACGTGTGGGCCAGCCCCAGCTGGCTGCCACCCCATGTCCTGTCATCACAGCCACAGAACTTCTGGGACCCAGGCAGGAGAGGCAGAAGCAACTCATCCCACAGGCAGGGACACTTTGTGCCTGTTGCTCATCCTTGTTTTGTCTGTTGCAGGCATCCCACTTCTTCTGGGCATGCTGGGGCCTGATCCAGGATAAATACTCTACCATAGACTTTAACTTCTTAAGGTGAGTGTGCCGGGGCTGGGGGGCGTTTGCTCCCAGCACAGTTCAGGGTTCAATGACTGAAACAAGAGGATCCCAATGATCCCTCTGTGCTGGAGGGATCATCCAAGGCCAGAGCACACCGGGCTGGGGACATGAGCATCTCATGTCTGTCCCTCTCTCCTCTCTCCTGGCAGATATGCAAAGCTAAGGTTTAAACAGTACTTCAAGATGAAGCCAGTGGTCACAGCCCTGCAGATTTCCAAATAGCATCTCCAGCACATGAGACCCTGAGCTATTTTTGTCCTTGCTGCCTCCCCCTTGCCCCTTCCCCACCCCAGCTGGGGGTGAGGGCAGGTCCTGATGATGGGAAGGGGGAAAGAAGCTCTGACCTGGCCATCGATTAAAGGAGACCCTGGACATACCTGAGACTGGACCATGAGATGCTAGAGAGGACCACAGCCTCGGAGAGGCCCCTGCCTATGCCAGGAAGCCTTTGCCATCGCCTTAACGCTGAGCCCCGCTCGGCCCCGGTGCCCGGCAGGTCCGTGCTTTGCTGCCACTGCTGCTGCCTGGCCTGGCACCAGGTTTGTCCCCTCTGTGCTGTCCCCGAGGGGGGAAACGGGTCCCCCCCAATCTGCTCAGGAGCCCCCAGAGCTGCACAGCTGCTTTAGCTGCCCCCACACTCGCTGTGCCCGTCGCCTTCACTGCTCCCTCCATCCCCTCCTGCCCTGCCTGCTCGGTACCTCCTGGGCTCCCACCCCAAACCAGCACAGCTCTTGGGTTGGTCTTGGCCCTGGGCTTGGGGCTGTGTCTGAGCACAGGACCCTTTCCCACGAGGGGTGGGTGCTGCTGCCTTCTGGCTAAGGTGGTGCAGAGCAGGGAGGGGAGGTGACAGCCATGACCGCAGGGGACTTGCTGGGTTCCTGCACCCCTTGGGGTGTGCTCAGCAAAGCTGCCTTGGCTTTTTCCCACAGCCCTGGTCCCTCAGACCCCTGTTAGCTCCCATCGTAGCTTCCCTTGTAGCTGCCAAAGCAAGGGGCTCCCAGCTCTGCCTTGGCCAGAGGGGTCAGTTCTGCTGCTCCCGTGGGCAGTCCCTGTGCTCCTGCTGTGTCCCCACCTGGGACTCTGGCTGGAGGTTGGACAAAGCCAACCAGCTCCATGAGCTGGGCACAAGCTTCATCCCTTATTCAGCTGCTTCCCCCATCACAGGCCCCAGGAGGGTGATCTGAGCCTACTGAGCACTGCCCAGCTCATGACAGTGGTTGTGCATCAAATTGGGGTGGAATCAGACCCCTCTGTCCCTGCCTTGGCCGCTCAGCAAGTGCTGTGGGGACGAGGTGGCTGGTCCCCTCTGCATGGACACAGGAACCTGCCCCAGCAAGAACTGGGACTTGTTGCATCTCATGTTCATTTTGGTGCAAAATAAAAGCTGCTGGAAGCTGGAAATGGGGAATGGTAGGTCTGTGGGGATTGGGCAGGGCTTGTCCTGGAGCAGGGACAGCACCCCTGGGACCTGGCAGTGTGCTCAGCCCTTCTCCTGCAGCTGGTGCTGCCCCCTCAGAGGGTGGGCTCAGTCCCCCTGTGCTCCTGAGTGCCTTTGGGTGCTGCAGGGACCAGTGGCTGTGCAGCACAGGAGGGAGTTTCCATCCAGCACCCACTGCTGCTCCCCTGCTGGCAGCAACTGCTGGGGATTGTCCTTGTCCCAGAGTGATGCCCTGGGCTTTAACCCAACCTCCTTCAGAGCTGATCCTACATCTTCATCCTGGGCCCTGCTGGGCTGTGGCTCTGGGAAGAGCAGGTTGGAGCACGTGGCTGCAGCAGGCACTGGGTGGAAGAGGCTGAACCCTCAAACCTGCTGTCATGTGGGGTTAGACCTCAATTCAACACAGGTGAGAGAGGTGGAGGAGAGGGGAGCAAAGTGGGACCCACCAGGGATGGACATGGCAGGAGAAAGAGAAAATGGCCTCAAGTTGTGCCAGGGGAGGTTTAGATTGTTTTTTTAGGAACAATTTCTTCCCCCAAAGGGTTGTCAGACCCTGGCACAGGTGGTCCAAGACAGGTGGCATTACCATCCCTGGATGGATTTCAAAGCTATATAGATGTGGTGCTGAGGGACAGGGGTTAGTGGTGGCCTTGGCAGGGCTGGGTTAATGGTTGAACTTGTTGATCTTAAAGGCCTTTTTCAGCAAAAACAATTCTGTGATTCTATGAAAGCTGAGAAATAGCACAAGAGAAAACATCACAGGGAGCAAGAGCCTGAGGAGGGGCCTGTGCTGGAAGAGGGGCAGGGAAGGGGGGACACAAGCACCCCCATCTCTGCCCTTCCTCCTCCCTGGCCAGCCCTCTGCTCTCCCTGAGCCCAGGTCAAGTCCAGACCCAGACCTCTGCTCCAAAAAGTCACCTTTATTGTGCCAAGGGGTGTGTGTGGGGGGGGCAATTGTAAACAAGTATGTGAAATATACAGGTTAAGTTACTCGTTGTCTTATTAACAAAATAAAGCTCTATCTATATTTACAGTCTTTAAAAAGAAAAAACAACAAAACAAAATAAATGCAAAACAAAAACACAAAAAAGCCCCAAAACAAAAACACCAAAAAAAAGACACAAGGGAGAGGAAGAGCTGCATGTTTGTCAGGCTCATCTCCTTCCCTCTGCAGCCAATCCCACCCTGGGAACAGGGACCCCAGTCCCAGCCAGAGCAGCACAGGGAGGGGGAATAAATAAAGCACTGACAAGGGCAAGAGAGGGGAGAGGGGTTTGGGGAGTGGGTGAGGAGGCAAGATGCTCCCCCTTGGATGAACAGCCCCTTGGAGTGCAGGGCAGCAGCACCCGATGCTGTGGAGCTGCTGCTCAGCCCCCCACCCTGTGCTGAGCACAGGGATCTGCTGCAAACCCCCAGGGCAGGGTCTGTGCCCCTGCCTGGAGCCCCGGGCAACCGCGGCTGCTTCTGCCCCCCGGGAAGGTCCCTCTGCTGGGACCTGGTGGCTGCGGCTGGAGCTGCGGGGCCCGTTTCTGGCTGTTGCCACAGGGCGGTGCATGGACACTGTGCACAGCCGGACCCTGCAGGCACAGGCAGACACTGCAGGCACAGGCAGACCCTGCAGGCACAGGCAGGCACCGCCACG